CGTCGAATCAAGTTATATCGGTAGGAGTTATGATTAGCGACTTGAGCGAACATCATTCGAGACGATAACTTCGGTCAGGATAAATAAATACGTGATCATTTTGCTAATTTTTATTGCTTTTTCATAAAAATTGTATTGGATCGACTATAATTTTCAATTCATGGGTATCACCGTTTGTGTGAGTTGTTAAGTATCAGTTTGAATGAATCACAAGGTGTTCCTTTAGTATTCGTTAATTACATACTGACGGTTTCGGTCGAATCTGTGTTGTAGTGAGTGGCTTAACCCGGTTAGTAGGACGGTTCCGTTCTGATGTGATCCGATTGGTTCCGGTGATACTGATTAAGCCGGATCTACCATGAAATCGAGCGTCATGCGGCACGGCGGATTCCGGTAAAGTTTCGCTACCGGATATTGTCGGATCACGTCGTATACGGCCCAATCGCATCATCTGACCTGATATTTTCCGGCAATATAAATCTGACCGGTTCCCGGAGAATCCGGCAACCAGATTTCATAAGAAAACAAGGAAAATCATCGGAATTCACCAGAAATTAACCGACCGAATCCGGTCACCATGTTACATCGGAATTATAACCCGCCCGACAAAAACCGACTGATCGATAATGACCTGGGTCGAGATGCCAAATAATAGTATGCTACAATATCATGGCTAGTGTTGCAAGCTTACTTTATTTACAGAGTGACTGATTATAATTCATTTTTAGTTTAATAAGACTTTGTAATTCCTAAAGATGCTTATACGCACGATATAAGTATGTATGTCGAATGATAAAAACTGTGATGCTATTAGCGTATTGCTGTCAGTTCAAATACATGTTTACTTTAGACTGTTTACGATCGTCGTATATGGTCATTTTTAGCCGTATGCAAAGTTCTTAATGGTCAACATAGAAACACTAAACTTCGACAAAGCATCCAAATTACGAAATATGGTACTAGTTTGAAAGAATTTGACCAGAATACTAATTACCGTTCATGTAAAAACCACAATTCTCTATGAAGAAAAATTCAATGTGAACAATTCTATAGTCGCAATATCTATACTACATATAACTTACAGTTTGAATATCTCAATTGACACACAGCAAGATAAGTACAATTTTTATAAAATATATCAGTTTGCGATTGAGAGCATTGCTCTAATCAGAGTCTGATTCTGAATCAAACTTATTGGAAAAAATGATTATAATCTTCAATTTAATTCACAGACATGACATAGTTTTGAATTTTATGACTTTGGCTAGTTAACCTCTCAAACCGATTAGAATATAGGATCAATTGATTCTTCTATATACTTTTTATAAAACGAAGTCAAATCTTTCTTGATGAAACAAACACGTGCGCCAACCAACGTGTAAAGAGAAAAAAAGGAGGTCGTGCATAATGCTCATTACGCAATGATACAATATTTCTGAATATGGTAGTGGTAAAAAAATAAAAAGTTTGTAAAAACGATTATTCGATCTTTCGCGTGTACGGAATTAAATATCTATCATTTATGACCGTAGTAGATAAAACAAATATCAGGTTCTAATTTTACTGTACTCTGTAACTCAGCTATGATTTTCTGATAAAACTTCAACACCTTTATTTGCAAAATGATATTTTAACTTGAAAGCAAACACTGATAAAGAAAATCAAGATCTATAAACGATGAGCCATCCTAGAAAATAGCTGCTTAAACAAGCGGCATGGGTGGTAAAAATTTTACAATACCTGTTCACTTACATTCTTCGTCGATACTATTAGATAAGGAGTACACGAACAAGAAAGAGGAGCGGAATGAAAGAGTAAGAGCAAGGAAAGAAAAAGAGAAAAATTTTTAAAAATCTACAAATATTTGCTGTAATATCTTGAGTTGTTTCATTTGAAATTACGAAAATGAATATATATTCTATTCTAGGCGAACTACACCTATGATTTTTTTTAAAGTTTGACACACTTTTATGAAGACAATGATCGGAAAAATATCGGTTTCGTGAAATCGTTCTATAATTCAAGCAAGATGAATTATTTTGCTGTTTCTTTTTTTTCTTCCCACTCAATGTGCATTCGTATCATGGGATAATATTTTCTGTTTGCTTTTTAATTCTCTACTTATCGTTTAGCTCAACTGTAAAAACTGTTCGGCGTTTCAAGCGAGTAGTGAAATATTTTGATGAAACACTTTTATTGGAAAATTCTGGTATTTTTACACCGTTTATCTCGAATAAACAATCAATTATAATAGAATGGTTGGTCATACACAATTAAGGCTACTTTCATTTGGATAAAGAGTTAGAAACTTTTGTATATCTCATATCAATCGAACCAGGCAAAGCCCAGTGGATCATTTTTCGGTACTATGTGCACTATACAAGTGGTATACTGGCGATAAGCCGGTGGTACTCTTGTATTTTACTGGTAGATTCAAGGCTCGAATCTACTGATTCGTGTTCTCATGATTCTAAGAATCGATCTATTGTGATATTAACATCCTCAAATCCTAAATAAAAATACTTAATCCTGATTATGATGTAGAGACTGATCTAAATGAAAGTAGAAGAAAATACTTTATATAGATAGCTATAGCAATATACTTCGTTACCTTTTGACCGCCAGTATACTGTCTGTGGTATTTCAAAGAACCGTTAGTATATTTGTCTGTATACCGGCGTTTTGTTTTCTTCAAATACTGCGGTACACAGGCGATAGTTCGAGTAAATGTGTAGCATGGGATTATTGTGAATGGCTTAAAGCTAGTCCTGAACAATAGTGAGTTCTCTGAATGACTATGTATTCATGAATTTGAGCTCTTTCATTCGATCAGAAAACTTTCGTATAATGAGTTCAAATAAATTTCAGATAAGGTAAAATCACTCCTAGAAGTATTATACATCATGATACTTGGTTTTGTTTGTTGGCTATAGTTGCATTTATGATACATTTATTTTATTCAATTAAGCAGTCACTACACGAGAGATCAAATAAATATAATTTCGATATACTTCTACGAAAATAATGCTTCAATTTTAGTGATGGCGCCGTGTGATTTCAAGTCAAATTTTTTTATGTTTACATCAATGAAAAGTGAACACTGCTTGTCATATTAAAAATAATCCTTCAACTATAATTGTTTTCTTTTTACTTCTTATGGTATAATTTAAAAGTTGCTATCGGTCAATATTATAGTAGTCGCATATAGTAATGACAGATAACAACGAATTACAAAAAATTACATTAAAAAAGTCATATTCAAATAATTACGTACTCGATCATAAAAACGTGTCTTCTCTATTGCAACACCATGATTCCACTCATTCGTTACCAAGCCTACTCAAAGAAACAGCATCTTTTGAACAATTTATATCAGAAGAAAAGAATACTTTAGAATTATTTCCTTCATTTAGAAGAAAAAGACCAATACGTAGTTATGAAACAGACAAGAAAAATATAATAAAATGTTTTCATTTATTACCATATACTATAAAAACTGATTACTGTTCAACATCAAATAATCTGAAGGTAATTCATAAATAATAAAAACAAACTATATTTAGATTGATCTATAACTAGGCATGCACCGAACCCGAACTACCCGGGTTCGGTCATATCCGGGTTCGGTCATATCCGGGTTCGGTACTACCCGGGTTTCATCATACCCAAATTCAGTACTGGAATTCGAGGGTCTACTTATTCGTATCTTTCGAAGCATAGAAATGAATAACAAATAGTACCTATAGATCGATAATAATAAATGATGTTATTTCAAAGGTTTATGGTCTTTTCCTCAATCTATCATAGATAATCTTATTTATCAGGAAAGTATACAATTAAATGAGCTTTTATGAATATTTCTCTAGGACTCGGCTACAGGAAAGTGTCGAATGGTTCTCCTTATTGAAATGATCCTTCTGATAGTCTAAGTAGGGATGTGACACTTCGAATACTACCAATACCAATACAATTTAGTATTTTTGATATCGATATTAGCATTATTAGTATTGATATTGTTAGTAGACCGATGGAAACAATTCATGTATCTGCATTTCCGGAAAACTTAATAAGGAGAATCATTCGCCGATTTCTTGTAGTTGAGTCCAAGATAAATATTAAGAAAAGCTCATTTAACTGTATCCGTTCCTGATAAATGGGATTAACTATGATAGGTTGAGCAAGGTAGAGGATCTTTGACGTGAATTCATCTTTTATCACCTACTATATATATCCATAGGTGCTATTTATTATTCATTTCTATGCTTCGCAGGATACAAATAAGTAGACCCTCGAATCCCAGTACCAAATCTGGGTATGATGAAATCCGGGTAGTACCGGGTACCCGGTATGACCGAACCTGGATATGACCGAAACCGGGTACGACCGAATACCGGGTATGACCGAACACGGAGAGTACTGACCCGAACTACCCGGTTTGTACCCGGGTTCGGTGCATGCCTATCTATAACATATAATTCAATTATTGTTTTTATATAAATAAAGTTAGACCTATAAAATATTGGAAAAGTTTGATCCAAGAAAAAGATCATTATCATTTTTAATATGTAAGTTATAAACTGGAAGAAATTCATATAGAGTTCTTAAGCATTGTGAGATGTAATCCCAGTGAAAAATATTACTAAAGAAGAACGGTAAAGAATGCGTTCCAAAAGAACTGAAGTTCTTTTTTTAAGAAAAGAAAACGTTCCACAACAAATGGAAACCGTTCTCAAATGGAACGAACTAGAACGCATTCTATCATTCTAAGAAGATGTTCTTGGTCGTTTCGAAATGGAACAGTGAAGAACGCATTCTGCCACTTGTGAAACGCTTTCTCTTCTTTAAAACGGTTAACCTTTCTGATCACCTGGGTGATCATTAATAGATGAATCTACAATTAGTCAAAAGACTGTTCCTGATGCAACTTGACGAGCTCTATCGAATGGCGTACTCCAATTCGTTGTAACTCAAAACCGTTATTAAAATAATAATTTTTCTAAATGAGACCAAATATCCCTAAAGTAAAATCGAATGAAGATTCCATCATTTCTCACATCAATTTCAACCTGCTTTGCTTCAGATCTTTCATTTTAGAATGAAAATGTGGTTTGCTTCGAAAAGAAAGCATTCATCTCTTCAGAGAATCCATTATCTTAAAGGCTCGTGAGAGAACGTAAAAGGAAGCTATTTTATTTCGATGAAATGCTATGTTAACCGTTCCGAAAAAGAATGAACTAGAATGAATTTTACTGGTTTAAGAATGATTCAGAATGCTTTCTCTTCAAATAGGGAATGATTTTTCAGCATAGAAGAAAGTATTCCATACTAGTGTGGAACGGTAAAGAACGAGTGCCTTCAGATCGAGAATATTTCTTTCTGACTCTGAACGCATTCGCTCAAACAAGGAACGCATTCTCTACGTAGGAGATAAGTTTCCATATCCGCATGAAACCATTCTATTCCGTTTTTTTTCGAAATATTTTTCACTGGGATGTAGTTTTTATCTTTTAAATGTTAGGTTGATTTGGTATTTTATTTCTTGTAGGAAATATTGTTAAAATTGTGTGATGAATTACGGCCGAATTTAATATTGACAACTGGTGGAACGGGCATCAATTCCGATGATATGACACCAGAAGTATGTGTGCTTGTACTCTTTTTCTATTTAATAGACTCATTTCTGCTTTAGGAGACGAGTTCAGTTATTAATAAGGAAATTCCTGGTTTAGCACAAGCAATGGTTGTAGAGTCATTAGTAATTACTCACGTGGCAATGCTTTCGAGATGAAATTCATTCTGTCTTTTCTATCTAGACTGATTTGTGGCATTTATCAAGAAACATCAATTATTATTCTTTCTTATATGACCAAAGTTATCGTTCGTTTTTTCTAGACAAATAGAAAACATTATTCGTGTGGTGAACATCATCATCGGCAGCAGCAGCAGCGCAGTATGATTGTAGACATAAATGATATTTTAAAATCGATCTCATGAACAAATCTATGAAGTTATTGCAGGTTCAGATGTTGGAGGAGAAAATATAAGTCAAAGAAAAAATTGAATTATTTTGATTCAATTTAGACTAATGCACCTCTCATGGAAAGTCATTATGTAGTAATTAATACAGGTCCGTGTTTAAATAGAATTTTGTAAAATATCTTCGGTATATCTATGTTCTGTATAGAGATATTGGTAATAGAATTAATTTCACCATTTTACAACAACAAAACAGATTTTATTAAACTCCTGTATACTTTCGAAGAAAATACACACGTTTGTAGGTTTAAATGGAGGTTTTCGCAACTTCCTCTTCACTCTAGCAATGACGAGTGAGAAGGGGATAGCAAAGCCAACGATTATCGACTAGATTTCTTAGTATAGAGAGAAGGAGCGCAAGCAATAACGATGCTTATATTTTTCTAAAACTCTGTACACCCTAACTACGTAGTTTAAATATTGCAGGTTTTGGTATTTAATGCAGCGAAAGGGTCCCAGGTCGAGCTATCCCAGATTCGGATCCTGTCTGATCCTACGGGGAATCCCATATGATCCAATACTTTCCGATAGGAATCCGACAACTTCCGACAGTATCCTGTCGGAAGTTGTTGGATTCCTTGGCACAGGATTCCGACAGGAAGTTGCTGGGTGTTGGATCCAACGATTTCCAAGAGTCTGATCCGACAGTCGGAATATATAGGAAACGACAAGATCCAGCAGGTTTTTTTTATTTGAGTTATCAATCTCAGTATTGCTTTTAGGATAAGTCTTTGAGTCGAGAGATTTTTATTTCTCAAATTATAAATCACAAATTGGTATGATGCTAAAGATGTTACTGTTTCTTCACCGCTTGCGGTTCATTTGCTTTTATTCATTTAGAACATCCGTTCATTTTCACAAAAAAATAATACAGAAAGTCAAATACAAAATATAAATGTAAATCATTGAAAGAGAACTTTTCACTTAAAAAAAGAGAAACTTACAATGCAAAAGACAAATGCATAATTGCCACATATATGTATATTCGACGAAGCCCAATGAAGAAAATAAATTATGATCTGGAGATGATGATTGTGATGAGATTCTGTTGATTGTCTCTTGCATTCATCGGATGAAAACTCAGCTAAATTCGGTCGAACCAATTTGTTGTAAAAATCGTCATAGTAATGTTCAACAATAAAATATTTATCACGCATAACTTCTAAAAAAATCAGATTTGATAAAATGAAAATCTTGAGAAATTTCTATAATCAAGATATGCAAGCAACAATAAAAAAACAATAAATATTTCACATAATCGGATCTCATTTAAAAATTCTTGTAGTAGCAGCGATCTATCATTTCCCTATTCCGAGGTTTTTTGAAAATAAAAAACAAGCTAGTTTTCAAAATCAGTTTCATAAATACTCTTAACTATGTCATTTTGACCTTGTTAATTGTTCAGTCGGCGAATTCTGAATTTCAGAAAGAAACTAATTGTGCTGTATTGTGATGTAATAACGAAGGACAAATTGTTAGGGCTTCTCGAGTTTAGTTTCAGGATTTTAAAGAAACGAAATGAAAAATACGTACCATGAAAATTTTCAAATGTGACGATGTTTAATGGTTATTGAAAATATTGAGTATCACCAGGAGGTAAAATTGAAACTAATAATTATTCACGCGCAAAAAGACAACGAAGTACTTGTCCAGCATAATCACTGATATTTTTTCCTCGAATATGAAGCAAATTAATGTTATCATGCATCTAAACAGTATTACAAGTATATAAAACAGTAAATAGAGATAGAAACGGACGACATCATCGCGCTCTTGATTATTCCCTAGTTCATGAAAAGCTGAAAGTTCAATCTAAACAAAAAACAAATATATGAAATAATTGATCAGAAGTATTTGATAAAATTATTCTATCAATACTATGTTAACGGTCAATTTATTTTTGATAATTCGCTAAATTTCTTTTCGTTTTCTCGTCGAACTGAATAGAGTATTTATATGTTGAATAATATTAGATGCTACAAAAGAACACTTAGCATCAATTTTTCTATAATAAAACTCACATTTTCAAACTTGATAAAGTTGCTTATTATTTTCGTCATCGTTCAAAATATCATTAGGTAACGCTAAATAGAGATAATATTCTTTTCATGAATATTAAAACCAATAAATTATTAATGATCGTCAAATCAATAAGAATTGTGAAAAGTTAGGAAAGCGTTTGATAATGCATCACTTCAGATTCTCATTAAAAATAAGCTTTGAAAACATACCTTGAATTTCTTTTTCGAAATTATTGCGTTTTGTTCATTAGATAATGTGGATAAATGACTATTGATTGTTATACATGATTCAACTAAAGTATGTTTTCTTTGTGTGGTGCAAATAGTTTTGATGCTAAAGAGAGAGATAAACATTGACTGAAGCAATTGAGAATTGTCAAAAATTAATAAGAACACTTACATTTTTAATCAACTACGCCAATTTTTTCTTATTAATTTTCAGATGATGAAAATGAATAATTTCTCTCATGCTAGATTGTTTGTGTAATTCATTACTATTGTTTAATACGTTTTCTTTTTCATCCAATATAAACCAGAAAAAAATACCATAACTATACATCATTTACCGTCACTACAAAGCACCAAAAAAAGTTAAGCAAGCATCCACTTTTGTAAACAGATTTTCTTTTTATTTACTTGAAAAGCAAGCAATAATTTCTGTTGGTTCTTCATCATATTCATTTAAATGTACATCTTCTTCAATATTAGAATCATATTGTGAATCAAGGCTTAACATGATTATTCTTCGAGTTTGGCAAAAACGTTGTGCATGCGACCTTTCAACTTCTGAATTTCTTCTTTCTTTGCTCACACGTGTCGACTCTTCACGTGTACCTAGAGAAAAAAGCAAAATAAATCTCTATCGATTTAGATATCGATCATAAATTTCAAATTTATAGAAAAAAAATTTTAAAATTGATGCTATCTGTTTATCAAGTCAGAAGTTACAGATTAGACAAGATAAAAAGAACTTTTTTCTTTCAAAGCAAGTATTAGTTATAGGGCTTCGAATTTACTCATTTCAACTTCAATTTTTGATAACTTTCTTACAGTAATACGAAAAAATTTATTTATTTATGAGACATCACTTTAATCGATAGTATCAATAGACTCGGATAATCGGTAATTTCATCTAGGTTCCATAGCATCTGTTAAAATTCGAACACATTACTAAATCTCATAAAAAATTCTGATGATAGCTGGTTCACTAAATTTATACGGTTTTTAATAGAATTCAACCAGAAACATGGTTAATAGTATAACAAATAATTTAAATTATTTTCACTCATGAAAGATTTAACTAACCTCGATATTGAATTCTGGCTTCAGTTCGTTGACCATAAACCATGATTATATGTACAATTTTTTTCCATAATAATCAATGAATACACATTAAATCGGAATCATAAATAATCGCAATATTGGAATAATGCGATGTTGGACAATTAAGACAAATACGTGCATCTCCAATTATATCATTATAATATATCAAATAAATTTTTTTTTCATAAATTAACTTTTAATTGTAACATAGATAATACTGAAATCTTTGAACTTCAAGTACATGTTCATTGAACACAGGAACATCACGTGAACACTTGTTTTGACGATGAGCCGAAAGATGAGGTAGTACTTGGAGGAAAAATTATTTCGAATTCTATATTCGATGAACGAGATCTTTCTTTTTTCTTCTTCAAACGAAGCTGATTCAGTTGATTTGGCAATGCAATAGCATCTTGTTTGACCAATATCACTCGGAAGAAATAATATATATATATAAATCATAAGGAAGAATATATTTTTTAGATCAGCATCTAGCCAGTGCAATTAACATATAGTATAGTTGAATTCTAAAAATATGTTAAATTTAATGAAAACTAAAGTGCTATTTCGTCAATTTTTCATGTTAATATTATTTACGCTCTAACATGTACTTTTGAATTTTAAAGAGCCACTCAAAGTGAAAAAAATTGCTTATATGAAAGTAACTTACCATATTCAATAAAATAGAGAGACAATTGTACAAATAAGCCAGATGCTTTGTCACAATTTTGGCAAAAATTTGAGTCTAAAATAGATAACATCGTGAGTACACGTAATGAGCAAAAAAGCAACTTACGCAAGAAACATAATGAACCCATGATTTCGTACTAAAATAGACCGATTACAAAATCCAACAATCTGAAATGAATAAAAGTGTAGTCATTTTTTTAAAGAAAAAAATGTGGGAAAATCAGTAATTTAACAATAAGCACGAATTGATTTGTATTAATATCTGTGAAGAGTTGATGATATAAACTGTATTCATAAAGGACGTCTGATCTTCCTAAATTTTGAAATCATGTAAATCGATTGAATAGCATACATATTCTTTTGTCCACTTTGACTATTATTCATATAATTATCCAACAGAAAACATTGTTAACAGATGTCGTGTCGACCATTAAAGTTTATTTTTTCTAGTAAGAAGCATATATGCAGATATATATATATATAATATCTCCCATAGGCTTATCGCCAGTTGGGGCCGGCGCTAAAGGGTCCACAAGCAGCCAGGTTCTATCGTGTTTTCTCTTTTACAGACGACGGTATCTATATGCAGATATAACTTTGTAAAATTCGATTCAACCGTGATCTTGAAAAATAAAAATAAAATACTCCTGAATCAGGAATGCTGCCTTAAATGAATTTCTATTAGAAACACAAATGAAAACCAATTTTTCACTATGAAATTGTCGAAAAAAAATTGTTTTTGTAAGTCATTCATTAAAATCTACCTTTTTATCACACTAATGTAATTACTTTGATTTTTAATAAAAATTACACAAATAAGTTAATTAAAAAAATATTCATTTTTATCATTCAATTATCGAAATACCATTTCTTAATATTTCAATAATTGAGCAATTTTTAATTAAAGAGTCAAGAAAATTTCGGTAACTCTAAAATTTATCGGATTCTGTTGGATCCAGTAATTTCCTGGCTATCGGATCACAATGGATCCTGTTAAAGGAATCCTGCCCTAGTGAAACATCTTGTAAGTAAGATCTTGGCCAAGATCTTGGGTACAGATAAGTGAACAGATCTTGAAAATTTAGGTACAAGATAATACAGTTATCTTGTACC